TACTCATAAAACTGAAATTCAATGTAAGCTAACCATCACAGGTATGCTCGCTCAAAAAAAAAAAAATCTATAGAGGAATAACGACTTACGAGTTTTTCTTCCAGTGGTGATGGACAGACACATAACTATCTTCTAAACAATTTATCTAGAAGACAATAAAAATTCATACTGTCATCTAAAAATCAAAAGTAACCCTGGCGTATGAACTCACTGGAATTAATTTCATACTTACAAAATTGCTTTTTTTGTTTTTATTACAATTTTATTATTTTTCCATGATTTATACCATTATTATTCTATCCTCATTTTCCATTGCAGGAATGCACATCTGTATTTGGTACAAAAAAATGCTTCTGACGCCTTGACTCATTGATTTCTATACCCTAAAATAGCGTTCATCACAGTTTACCCTTACCAATAGAGTAGCTGTGACTTCAGACTTAAATTGGATAACTTACTGTTCCATCTAAATTAATTTTCACTTTAAATTAAGTTTTTACCGTTCCATTTTAAATTAAACTTAAATTGGATAAGTTCCAAATCGATTAAAGAAGAATTGAAGAGGAATTTTTTCAACGAATGTTAGAAATGAAAAACGAAAACGAAATAAAACATCTCACACTCCCTGCGATTTTTCGATTCTTATAAACTAATAAATTGTTCAAATGCGTATGAATTTCAAGAAAACCTGGCAAAAAGCTCTTGTCATTCTGTGATTGAGAAACGAAATCAGTTTTTCAAAAACTTCCACAACTTTAGAAGTAAAACAAAACTCACCTTGAGGAGGCATACCATACTGATTTTCTTCAGGCATCTGATAACCAGTTGTGCTGTACGCTGGGTTTCCCATCGGATAGCCACTTGACTGCTGCTGCTGTCCACCAAATGATGGTGCTGTTGATGAACCAAATGATACATTGGTTGGTGGCGGTGCAAGCTGAGTGATGCCCATTGTACTAAGTGGAGGCATCGGAAAATTCAGGCCAGAATATTGTGGGGCGCTGGTGTATGGAATATTGAAAGGTGCTGGTGGAGGAGGCGCAGGTGCTGGTATTTCATAGTGTCGCGAGTGCTGCTGCTGCTGCTGCGGCAAATTGGAAAACATCGATGGTACCACGCCAGGCACAGTCGACTGCGGTACCGATGAAGCTGCTCCTGCTGCAAATTTTCAACTTAGCTGACAAAACAGTGCAGTAACAAGCACCGAAAAGCGACCCCATATGAGCTTTGAAAAAATGCCAAAAATAGGACATACGATTATATACAGGAA